AGTGGCCATCGCAGCCATTTTCCGCGCTCTCGAATTTGGCTGGAATCTCTGCGAGGATCAGGGTATGATATGGGGCTGGAAGACCAGAGCTGGTGGGAAAGGAGTCGTCAAACGAGAGCGGCCGTGGTGGTGGGGAAGCTGGATGATCCAGCCCTTTGCTTTTGGGCAGCTCTTACACGCCGTCGTCTTTGACCGAGAGTCCTCTCCAGTCGGCCTCGTCGACTTCATTTGGAAGAATACCTCCACCTATCTCCATAAAGCCCCGGAGGATCTCCCTGTTGGCATCAGATGGCCAGATGTGTGGGAGATTACCGACAGCCTGGCCCGGATGGCTAAGCTTAATTGGCCGTATGCTAAAACTCTACCATTATCTGATGACGAAAGGTGCTAATAGTTTTCCAGGCCGTTCGTCTCGCCGACCTTATTCCCCGACCAACCAACCCTACCTTCATCTCTAACCGCGGTTGCTCCTCTAACCGCGCGAGCTCACCCTCTCATCACTTCTCTCAGCTGCGCTACCCTGCACCCTTCCGATCCTTCATGTCTCCGCACTTATCTCGCCTTCTGGGTACGCTCGTTTCCGCGCATGGGCCGTTTCTTCCTTCTCTTCTACTCTGTGCTCATGCTGCCACGCTACAAACTTCTGTACAACTCGCCGCTATACCTCTTAAACCGCCTGTTATCAAGGGTGCTCCGTGTTTCGACATTCGCGACAGGCGCCATCTCCACAGCGTGGGCTAGCATCTGCTTCTTCCAGGCTTGGTTCCCGCGCACGTTCCTGCCGACCCAGCGGTTTTTCTTGGGCGGATTCCTGGCAGGCCTCTGGGCTTGGGTAGAACGCAAGGAGGGCCGGGGCGTATTCCTATACAGCGCGCGAGCGAGCGTGGATTCGTTGTGGAAGGTGGGCGTCAAGCGTCGCTGGTGGCGCGCCATGAAGGGAGGGGACGTGTGGGTATTCGTGCTGGCGCTTGCTATCACGGGCGCCGTGTACGAAAGGGACGCGCGGGCCATCCGCGAGAGCCGAGTGCGGAAAGGGCTCAGCTGGATTCGTGGTACGGAGTTTACAGACTGGGGGCTCGAGGACGAAGATGAGGCAGGGGAAGATGCTGATAAGGAAGAATAATCCGCAAGTAATGAGTGGAAGAGAAAGGATAAATTTTAAAGCTACTAGCAGGTGGTGTTAATGAGTGACGACGGAATGAGGCATGAATACTCACTTATATACCTTGAGTACCTATTTAATATAGGTTCAATATGCACATATACTACTAATCGGTACATAATATCATATTCCAAAGGCAGCAGGACACGAGGTTTGACTCGGTGTGAAAATGCTTAGAAGATTTGTTATAAGAGCAAGATAGCAACTGCGCTAATAGGCATTATGTGCCTTTTTACATACATCCTAACCTATATTTAGGAATAAGTCCGTCTAACCATATAATATTGTTCATAAACCCAAGAAACGACACCCTCGCCGCCGCTCCTACGCTCTTGGGGTCACTCTGAAATGCCTCACAACATCGAACCGACCTTTAGGTAGCCACGTATTTCTATTTGTTTTGATTATGTTGAGGTAAGTATATCAGGCTTTAGGTGCCTCTTAATCTTATTATGTCTTACCCGGCATATATTCATGATCATTCCAAGACAGTGTAAGAACTTGTTAAGTCTCAAGGTACAATAATTACTTGCCCGAATACAAGAGTTTAGATATTTTCATAATTAGAATTCATAATTGACAATTCCTAGTACATAGATAGTTCACTTGACGCTTTTTTCGGGGGTTTTTTCATCTTCGGCCTAGAAAGCAGAATGACCAGCCTTTTCGATATATACCATTTTGATCTGTATGAAACGTCTGCACGTACTTCGTACAATCATGTTGATATGATATGATATGATATATACACGAGACAACTCGCCTAGTCCATAATTGCTTGCCTTGATGTGACTTGGTTTACCTGGTTTATTGATATTTATAGAACTCGCATACATCTTGCATACTAATAGGTAATCATGGTAGTCTTGCGACTCTTGCTTCTAAAATTATAGCCTGAAACTCTCCAATTTCCACTCCCAGTAGAGAAATTCTCCTGAATAAGTGTGATCCTAACTAAGGCAGCAGCTTTTGACACGATATTTTGAATAAGATTGCCCCTCTAACTGATTAAGCGAGCTGGAAGTGCACTTTGATATACGAACCGACAAATCAGCGTTGTAGGCACATTCTACACCGGCCATGAGAACAAGACCCTTAACAGTATATTCGGTGCGACCGCATGACACGATCTAGGTCGTGGAGATCAACAGGTAACTAGCCATGACATTACCTACAATGTCCCATTTCCCATTGACAGTCGGCCCGGACAGCATGCTACGTTGTTGTAGAGTGGCATCGTCTACACGCTATGACAAACAGGACTGGTTGTGAAGTTAATGGCTAGTCAAATGATCCTCTCACCGCTCGGTCTCGAGGGCCATAATGTAGATAGACGTACGCTGAATATTAAATACCTATCCCTTGTTGAGAATTCCCCCGATCTAGCGTCTTAGGAAGCCGACTTTGTAATGGGCATCCCCGGTTCAAAATGCGACTATATCTATTTTTAGTCGTTAAATATCATTGAACCATTGGTCAATTACTCTCAGCCGCATCGTCCAATCTCATGGCATAATTTTTATTTGACACACCTAACGTGTAAGCTACCTAGGTACCTAGAGCTACCTAGTAGAAAGGGGAAAGGGGAAAGGGTCGATACTGACAAAGCGCCTTAGTATACTTTGGACCTGTTATAGAAACGATATCTTCTAATCACAAATTACAATTCTAAAATCAAAATCTCATTCTCTAAATTCTAACTGTCCGGCGCCCAGATGGACGAGTCATTCACCATATCTGGGGTCCCAATATCCACCTACTAGATCTGGATAAGGACCCCTGACGCCTTTAATGCCGCATAATCCAATAAAAACTTGGACGGAATGCTTCTCACTCCACATGGGGACGCCAAGGGAACAGCCTAGTTACCTATCCTTCAGGTTACATCGCAGGGATGATGTCTCATCGTTTCGTTTCGCAAAGGAGAACCGGATATGGTGAATGATCTACTTAAGATTCTCATTCCCATGCTCTTCTCATTGAGTATGAGAGTAGTTAGAGACTACCTGACAGAGATAACTGTCTCTTAGGCCTACAGCATGTTGTTTGGGATCCTTACTCTTCTCTCTGGGCAGGTGCTCGCCTCTTCTTCACATGTATCCATTAGGGCCGGCCAAGCATCACCTCAAGCATATGCTTCCTCTTCGGACCTCAAATACAAGCTAAGCGCCGTTGATGCTCCCGTGTCTGGTAAGGGTAACCCCGGGGATACGTCAACATGGAGTCTGAGCATCGATGATACGGAATCTGGGTACAAGCAGAAGATCAACGGTTTTGGAGGCTCTGTAACAGACGCAACTGTTACCGTCATCGACGCACTCTCCGATGACAAGCGATCTCAGCTTCTAAGAGAGTTATTTGCATCAGACGGAGCCAGCTTCAGCTTGCTGCGTCATACTATTGCCGCATCGGACTTATCGGGACCGCCCGCATACACTTACGATGATAGCAACGGTAATGCGGATGCGGACCTTGGCAACTTCAACTTAGGAGATAGAGGAACGGCGATGGCAAAATTGCTGAGCGAGATAAAAGGTATCCGCTCCGACGCCACTATCTTCGGAAGCTCGTGGAGTGCTCCGGGCTGGATGAAATTGAATAGGGTAAGGGTCTCGTAAGCCCAGATAGCAAGCCGATTTTCGCTCACAGACTTGTATAGGTTCTCACCGGGAATGCCGACAACAACTGGCTTGACTCGCAATACTACAGCCAATATGCTCAGTACTTTGTGAAATATCTTCAAGCATATGCAGGGCTAGGCGCCACGATTGATGCTATTACCATCCAGAATGAGCCTTTGAATAATCAAGGAGGCGGTCACGTAACAATGTATCAAACTGCCGACGAAGCTGCTAAAGTGACGCATGACTACATCGGGCCAGCTCTACGTGCGGCCAACTTGAACACGCAGATCTGGGCATACGATCACAATACGGACACGCCTAGCTACCCGCAGACCGTGATCAACGTAGCCGGCGAGTACGTTCAAGCGGCAGCATGGCACTGCTACGCGGGTGATCTAGACTGGACCGTTCTTAGCGACTTTCACAACGCAAACCCCAACAAATCCCAATATATGACGGAATGCTGGACTTCTCCGCAGACGTCGTGGTACCAGTCTTCTAAGAACACAGTTGGGCCGCTACAGAACTGGGCCGAGGGTGCGTTGATGTGGACTCTGGGCACGTGGACTGAGGCGGCCGACGGCACCTTTGGACCATATATCCAGGGAGGGTGTGCGACGTGTCGCGGTCTATTCGTAGTAGACCAGAATGCAGGCACGTACGAGTTCACCGTCGATTATTATATGTTGGCGCAGTACTCCAAGTTCATCCCTAAGGGCGCGACTATCCTAAGCGGATCTGGTAGCTACAGTTACGACGGGTACTCAGGCGTACAGTCAGTCGCATCGAAGAACCCGGACGGCACGCGTACTGTTGTAGTCGAGAACACGTTCAGCAATGATGTCTATGTTACCTTGACCACAACCAGCGGTCAGACGTGGAGCGGCAATATCCTAGCGAATAGTGTTACCACTTGGATCTTGCCGTGAGCGATGTGTTTCTAATGCATGTCATCTACTTCGTTGTATATATTGGCATTGAGGTTAATGACAAAAATTATCCGTAGCGATGAGTCTTAGTTGAGATTGAATACAGACATACCAGGTACCTTAAGACCATGATTTATACCTAGGTAGTTAGGTATATATAAATCATGGCCTTATCCCCTATTATGGTTAACATCAGCCCGTATGGAAAAGCGAGTCTTCATGTGAATATAAAACTAGATAATGTCGTCGATATAAGCTTTAGAATGGCATCACGAAGCGATTCCGATGACTTCATAGTACAACATTCTATTAGCCAATTAAGTCGTTCGGGTTTATCACTAGGTGGAAGGGTAGATAGATTACTGGCTGCTACACCGTATTAGCCGGACCGAGCGGTATCTATTTCATTTTCCCTCACCCGTTAGAGTATTTGAATCAAACTGGAAATCCTTCATTAGGCACGCCTGTAGTAAATTCTACCTTAGCTGGATATTTACTTGATCTAGTGTGCCTCAAAGTTCAAATCGAAAATACACCAATACCCTAGCAAATGAGATTATTAGTCCGCTCTTCAAGATTCCATCTTGGTATACTTGCGACCCTCTTCAAGCCTAACAACACCACGTGTGCTGCGACGGAAGGGTGCGGTAACGGGCCAAGTTACCACCTTGGCCAGCAGCAAAATAAGCCCAACAAGGTACAAGAACAGGCTGAATACACCCAGGAGGGTGATTGGGACGACGGCTAGGAAGAAGTTCCCTGTATAACCCTACGTTAGTACGGGCCATCGAACGAATAGACAGAAATATAATGAGGAGAGCTTACCAAACATGCCATGGCGGCGAGAGATTGTTTGCCAGAGCTCGTTACCAAGGACGTGAGTAGCACCGTCCCAGGAGTACGGGCCCTTAAGGCGAAACTTGGGGTTGAGCTGAGCACCCGCTGCCCAGATGATCGGGATGCGATACCATAGGTTAGACTGGTACCGGGATGCAGACCACCCAGCCCGTACGGCATCCCAGAAGGTCGGGGCGGAGCCTATATCGAGCGCCAGCTGATAGGCATAAGTTTCATGATCGACGCCGTAGTTGATACGTGAATTCTGGCTGGATCGAAGGCGGAAGTGATGGTCATCGGCATCACGCAGATTAGCCGTGCGTTCGGGTACCATGAGGTTCAACAGCCACAGTTGAGCCTGTAGCTCGGCGAGCGGGGGAATAGCACCATATCCAGGACGTACGAAACCGATGAACCCGACGCTCGGGTCCGCGCGGCTCCAGATTGACCGGACATCCGCGCTTCCAGGTACCGGGTAGCTCTCTCGGCCCTGGGTTTGGAAAAACGGAAACTCCTGACGGTAGCCGGTAGCGAAGACTAGGACATCAGGTTTGGTAGGTCCGATATCCTGCATCCTAGAGTACTCGGGGCGTCCGTTATTCTTAAAGTGGATCGTTCCCGAGGCATCAACATGCGTCGGCCACGGCGCTAGCTCGATTATACGGTCTCCTTCGACCTTATCGACGGGCGCTTGGAGGATGGAGCGGCGGATCCGTTCGATGACACCCGGGTTAGTCGGGCGATAGGGAGCACTAATATAAGGCAGGGCTTTAGGCGCACCCTTGTTGAAGAAGAGCTTAGAGACGTGGTATCGCTCCTTGGAGATGCCTCCGACCCATTGGTCAATACCGGCTACTGTGCCAGAGACGAGCCAGTTAGTTGCCTTGACACCCCAATCGTAAACATTCCACGTGAAGAGAGTGTCTCGAATCAGGGGGTGTAAGTACATCGAGTCGAAGAGAGGTGCCTGCCAGCTAACGTCGACAGGAAGCTCTCTGCGGTTAGGGTTGGCCTTACGCCCAAAAATAGGGAACCACACAGGGTTAGGAATAACCTTGGGTGCTCCGAGGAAACCGTCTCGGTGAGTGAGGACCACGAGCTTCGTCGGTGAGGTTACGGCAAGGTGGGCGATGTCAATGCCAGTCTCACCGGAGCCTAGGATGACGACCGTCTTATCGCGACCAAACTCTTCACGCTTCTTAAACTCGGACGAGTGCTTGACAACCGGGATATTCTCGATACCGGGAAGGTTTGGGACGTTAGGAACCACGTGCAGGCCGGTACAGACGGCGACGGCATCGCATTCGTATGTCGAAACTTCTACATTAGTATCGTCTGCCTTCTGGTAGTAAATGATGTGGCCGCCTCCGGGGCGCCTCTTGACAGCCACGACCTTGGTTGAAAGATTAATATCGGGCCAGAGATTGAAGTTGTCACAGTAGTCGTTAAGATATTGTACGAAACTGTCGGCGGAGAGGAAATCGGGGTCGTTCTCATGCGCCCTGAAATCAGAGAAAGATGTGAGGAATTTAGACGAGACCAGCTCGGCGTCCTCGTATGCACGCTGCGCGAAGGTCCCGCCAACCACAGACTCGGATTCAAACAGCACAGCCTCGACGGGCTTGCCAGGGAAGAAATGGTGAGCCGTCTTAAGATACTTGAGCGTCACCAGACCCGAAGGGCCGGCACCAATAACTGCCACGCGCATGGTGCTAGTAATAAGGGGCGGTATGTTAAGAAGATCAAAGACGCTTAGCTCGAGGTCTCCCCTCGGGACATGTTGAGTCCAGCTTGATATAAGGGCTCAGATCCTAGGTCTTTTCGATATAAGCGGTTTAGGCTCGAGATAAGTCCTTAGGACCTACACTCCGTCCCCGTGATGCTAGAGTCGCATTCTCTTAGGTATATGCATATCTTACATGGGATGCGGAGTATTTCATCTTGCTCGTCTTCCCTATATGTAGTATAACAGGGCACTCGATAGCAGATTAGCCAATGAGTGAGACGGACTCCTCTCCTCTGTCAGTCCCCGGATTACGCTACGCCTGACATCACGCTGCTATGCATTAGTCGCCCGTAAATCTGTAGTCATCCCCTGCTCGATTTCTCTTCTGGCCAATCCTCACATGCAGTGGCAGATACTTTAGTTCGGTTCGGTGCAACTATATGAGCTGCCTCTTTAGGTGCGGATTACAAACCGTTTGAAATCCTCCTCAGCTCATTGTCTACCTCAATCTCACCAAAGCTCTTACGTCGGCCTCTATTTCTTTAACCAAGATTCTATTTATTGATAAGCACCGGGACTTATCGTTCCGTTCCACATGCGTCCAGAGACTGTTAATTCCTAGACCTAGGTAGTTTACACGATATTTCCTAAACCGTAATGTTGGCTAAGATATGCAAGACTCTACGTGAATGCATGCATGAGCTCACCCTCCAAGGAAGCCCTTGAGGAAAGCGGGGTCTGCCTATTGCTAATCAAACGAGGACATGGAATATCAACACGATCTATAGACTCCGAAGGATGGGGTAACCTAGAGGACATCGAAGAATTCTAGATGGTTAAAGCGAAACATAGCCTCTACGTCAGTCTTCAAAACTACTGGTTTCGATCAGTAGCAGAAGACTGCAACTAGAAAACCCGTTGTCATAAGAGAACCAAAGTCTGAATCATCAGTCCCAACATAGAGCAAGTTGAGTAAGTGCTTACAAATGCCACTTTGTTCCTCTGAATCTCAACAACTATACGCACTAGTAAATCTAGACTAGGGCTCACTGTTCTGCAGTTTGCCTACCTAAGGTAGGTGACGGAATCTGCTATGTAAGTAAGACACGACTGCCCTTGTCGATGCGTTACGACCATATCTACAACCCTATCCACCTACCAACAAGTATACCTCCTTTTGTAGTTAGAACCACGCTGCGATCCTGTCGGCATCATGACATCTCCCTTCCCTCACTCCTTGCTAAAGGCCTTTGGAGACGCACCGGACGTGCCAGCTTTCGAGTATGGCTCGCGCGTGTTTAAGCGAGGCGACATCCTAGGTCTCGTCGCCCGCTATGTTGGTGGGCTACGTGCCGCTGAAGCCAGCCTCAGTCCTGGTGACGGCATCGCAATATACACCGGCGTTACGCCAGATGGCTTCGCTGTACAAATAGCAGCACACGTCTTAGGCCTCCGGGTTATCGGTCTAAAACCCGGCATGGATATGGTACAATTACCCATCATTGTTGCCGATGCGAAACTCTTGATAGTTGACGAAGACACCCGTGCCGAGATCGAGTCTTCACCGCCGGTGGAACCAACCGTGATCAAACTAGAAAACTTACTAGGGGATACCAGTGCACTAACACCGCAGGGACGCCTGGAAGACACCGCTCTGGTCCTATTTACCAGCGGGACTACTGGTGGACCGAAGGGTGTTGAGTGCACTTACGCAGCGCTGACAGCATCCTGGGCGTGGCAACGCTCCGCTTGGGATGCTGATACGGAACTGATGGCTTCGAGGTACGGGCGTTTCCTTCTATTCGGCACGCTCGCTAGCACCGTCATGTTTGAGCACCTCGGACTATGCCTCACCAGTGGCGGCACGGCAGTGATACCTACCACGCCCTTGCCACTTCTCAAGTTCCCGCACGTCCTCTCTGATCTTCGCATTTCCGCCGTGCTTTTCACCGTGCCGCGGCTATACCACGTCCTTGAACTTCTTAATTCGGACGCGTCAAGTTTCGATTTAAGCTATCTCCGCTCCGTCGTTGTTTCTGGTTCACCGCTGCCAGCGCAGAAACTACGTGCTGCGATAGAAACTCTTGGGGGCGTTGTATTTAACGGTTATGGTATGTCGGAGACGGGCTTAGTGTGTCTACTATCCGCGGCTGACATCGTGGCGCACCCTGATGCCATAGATGCTGTCGGTCGGCCCTTTACAGGTGTTCAGGTTCAAATACGGGATGATATCGGGGCTTCGCTCCCCCTTAATACGGTCGGACATGTGTGGGTACGTAGTCTCGGCGCATTCAATGGCTATACGAACGAAGAATCGTCATCCGTCCTCGACTCTACTGGCTGGATATGGACGCGAGATTTGGGATCACTCGACAACCGGGGCTTTTTATATCTAACAGGACGGGCGCGGGAAATTGTTATCATCAACGCCAATGTATACTACGTCGGCGCGATCGAGCATGCGCTTTCATCTCACCCAGATGTAGACGCCGCGTATGTCGTGAGTATTCCAGACAATAATACGGGCGAGGCCGCTGCCGCCTTTATCAAAATGGTTAAGGATCGTGCTCCCGATTTTAGTGCCCTTGGGGAGTTAGTCAAGGAGAAAGTCAGTCCTACCGCGGTCCCGGTGGTCATTAAAGCAATAGATTCGGTCCCAATAGCCCCAAGCGGGAAGCCTGATAAACAGGCGCTTATAGGTCTAATATCTAAAACCAAGTCGTAGTAACATTCAAGAATTTTCCCAGTAAAGAGCACCTAATGTTATTTTATATTACCACATACCATATAAGCCTTTAAAGTCAAAGTCCTCACATATCATTACTCCTAGAGGTAGCTAGCCATTACCTATAACGTCAAGCAAATAATGTAAAGCAAATTATCCAAGTCTCCTAGATTGGTACAATTGCATCGTTTAGCACCTACTAGAGATAAAAGCCACTCAATGTGACTAACGATATTAAATGAGCTTCATACAATAGCTCGTAGGTACATATAAGATAGCGGTCTGAGAAAACGCCAAGTATTAAGTCGGAGGGACCAAATTGGCGGTATCCTATGAGGGGCGTACTAATTCTATACTTATCAAAGGGGTGAAACGGAGTACGATATATCATGAACGCGTCCAAATCTATCTTTAAAAATACATGCGGATATCTCAGAGGTGTGACTATTTCCCTTGGCTAGTTATATTTGCAGCTCGCAAACTTGAGAACCCGGAAGACATCCGAACATAGATGCCGGACGGGCAGACACCAGCTGAGATAGTCGAGGTCCCTCTAGGTGACGTGTCTGAGTTGTTTAGGTTCACAGTGACGAAGACCTAGGGAGTGCTCTCTTAGCTTCGCTAGAATATCACCATCAGTTGCATACATACATCGTGCCTAACGATCAGTATTAATCCAGTCTCCAAATGGCTTAAGAGGCAATACTGATTTAATCAGATAAATGTCATGAGTATAGGTACCTGGGTAGGCACCTATATTTCTAATATTGGTTCTATTTACGTTTGAGACATTTCTCAGGCTGGTATACAAGATAAATAAGATCATAACAAGCTTCCATTTACAAAGAGCCGTCTCCCTCTATATCAAAAATAAAGCATAAAATTTTACTTCGGTAAAGCTAAAGCCATCATCTTCATATGCGTCACCCCAGCTTCTCTTTTACCCCTATCTTAACGTTTGACTCCATCGCGGCAGCCCGTAGTTTATCTTCACCGACATGCACCTAAGTCTACAGATATAGGTTTCCCAATACAACGGAGATTATAGCACTCCGCTACATTGCTCGAAAATACTTGCCGATCACTGACGTGGTCTTGTTCTGGGCTGCGATTCCTATGCATCTGTAATGTTTTATTGATGTAAATAAAGCTCTCTGCATTGATTAGAAGAGGAAAGCTAGGGTGATGAGAAGCGAAGTTATCTTTAGGAAAAGTTTCATGCCTACTGATACCTTGATACCCTTACGATTGCGACTTATTGAAAATGCGTGGTGGTTGAATTTGCTATCTTTGGGATTTCCCAACTAGAGCCAGGCGGCATAATTCGTACAAACTTCGACGTATATATATTTACATTAGCTTAGAGTTGAATAAGTTCGGTGTTCCGGCGTAGAGTGAAGCCCGAAGTAGTAAATTTTGTTACCTAGCCCCCCTTTCGCGCGATGGGGATTCTTGGTATAGCTCGATCAGTCTTCGTGTCCGACAGAACATCCGGAGATCCCGAATTATGACTCGAAATGTTTACTAACATGTAGGTCTATCTCGAGATAAGACAGACCGATACAATTCTAGTAGCAAGTACCATCCTCATAATGGGTGTCATTAGCGAGGGCTACATGTACATGCTTTCCCGCTCTGCATTATACATGCATAGGGGTAAGGAAGAGAGCATTAGATAGCGATCCACACATCAAGGAGAAACGCGTCACCTAGTCTATTGCTATTTTACCAACGCGGATAAGGAGTAGTGATCCTAATCACCTTAGGCAAACATCTGCGCTAATGAAAAGGGGCATCCAAACCCTTCTCATCTGAGGTCCCCCATAAGCGAAAATACTTGTCCTATTTGCTAGGTTCAACAAGACCGCTAAGTGAGTGACAGGGAATGAATGACATAGTAATATTATCATTTCTCAGTTCTTTTCTACCTCGTAAAACATACTATTTCCAGTAGTGCCCTAAAGAAAATAAATGCGTCCCGACGTTATGGTCGTAGGAATGCGTCCCTTGGCCATGAATGTGGCTCCTCTATATAATCCCCCCCATCGGGACAGGCCCCTAAGATTAGCTATGCATGTGTGCACATGGTGGATAGGTATAACAGTCACTTGAAGCTTGTAAAGCAAGGGAATATGTTTTTTTTCGAGGACGAAGTCCCAAGCAATCAAAAGCGGCTGCAAAACTAGCAATTTTGTAATAGCAGTAGGATCGATTTGTTGGAACTCTCTGGAATTCGATTCATGACTTTTGTAGATCTATGGAGTTCCTGAAAACCTGGAAGAATTCGGATTCGTAAGTGTTCCTGGAAGACTAAGTTGAATTTCGACGGATTTCACATATTACTGACACTCGACCAACTAACACGGCGCGTGTAAACAGGTCCCAGGATCAACTACTTGGCTAGATCTCACCCCCATAATTCGTCACTGACGATCACCAGCTTTCGGAAGGAACAGTTTATCATATCAGCAAAGTAAGGAATCTGTTGATGGCGCGTATGAACATGCTATCATAAGGCATAGGTTCGGGGGCAACGCTGGATTGTATATAGAATCCAACAGTTATGGTAACAGTTATGGTTGAAACTATCATGTTCTGTCTGATGTAGGATTCCCAACAACACGGATGCGCTACAGCCCTTGCCATATGCATAAGCACAATGTTATTGGGACCAAGATACCCAGTAGTGAGTACCGAGTACGAGGCACCGATTACGAGGTATCCAACCCGATTCGCGGACGATGCAAGGTATAAGTCGGTGGCCCTTCCCACCCCTCGATCCCCCTTATTCTGAGCGATCGACCGGTAGTAGAGAGATACATCACAGCGCATGTACATAAATTATACAGTACTAGAAA